AAAAAAAAAAAAAAAAAAAAAAAAAAATTTTTGAAGAGCCAAGCAATAGGAGATCCAAGTGATGGGGTGGTGGAAATGGACCCATGAGAGATCTCTTTCTAAAGTGTAGAAGCTGCTGTTAGCCACTCTGCAAAGGGCTATCAGCCCATTGTGCATTGCAGGGGTCGAGCGTCAAGTTTCCAGGTCTTGGCTGCCTTGGCAGCCAAGCATTCCATAAAGTTTATTCAGCTCATAAAGTTTGGATTCAGGAAAAGCAGACACGCCACAAGATTTATTAGCTGAGACAGGGGAGGAAATTGCAGCATGGATTCTTGACAGGCCCTTAAACCAGTTCTCAGCCACTTGGAACAGTGCACCCTTGACACGGGTGAACCTAGATCTCATGGTATGTGGGTGCTTTGCATACTGTGTTTAGAGTGCCAGAAAGTGCATGGTGCCATCTTTTTTTACCAATGTGCACAGAAAGGCTTTGGATGCATTACCTTGTACGGAGGGAGTCAGTCCCTGGCTTGTTGCTCAAATAGATCACACCTGTGAAAAATGCTTCCTTCACCTGAGACTGGCTAGATGAGAGTTCCCCTCCCGCATCCCTGCTGGATGCTGAGTGGGCCCATGGTGCTCCATGCCTTTGTGACATGACCTCCCTGCTTGACGACTGTAATGCAAAGGACATACGAGCACTCCAGCAGTGACAAAAAGTCTTCCTAGTCCAGAACGCCCAGTCTCACCTGAAGGATCAGCCAGCATATGACCCCTGTGCTCTGCTTACTGTACGGGCTCCCTGTAGAATACCAGCTCTAATTCAAACTCTGTCCTAATTCTCAAGGCCTTCCCTGGGTAATTTGGAGGGTTTCTCTCACTCCATGACCATGATGACCTTCCTCAGCAGTGATAAAGCTGTCGGCCTCGAGTGCAGGAGACTGGGCTTCGCAGCCAGTCCCACTAGTGCACCCCCACAGAGAAAAGCATAAAACTTACTTCATCGCTTTAGCCTTCCCAAAGGCACACCTAAATACAGCGAGGAGGAGGAAAGGGGGGTGAAGGCTAGATGCAAAAGTGAAGGGATAAAATACAAAGCCCTTGTGGCTGCAGAGGAAATAGTGAGGAAAATGTAGGGCTGGCAGCCTGTTGTTTAATCTTGAGGAGAATATCGGATGCTGCAGCAATGGCACAGTTATAAAATAAAAGGATAGATCCTGGGGGCGTCCATGGGGAACCCCTGACAATTCACTTCTGAGGGCCATCTTCAAGGCTTTTGAAATATAAATATATGCAACTTGATCTAATGGTTAGAGCACCGGACATGGAATCAGGATTTCTAGGTTCAAACTCCGGTTCTATTGCTGCGTGACCTGAGGCAAATCCCTTATTTTCTTTGTGCTTCAGTTTTCTGTATCTGTAAGATGGGGGTAGTAACTTCATACCACATATGGCTGCTGTGAGGATAAATTAGTGTGTAAAGCTAATTAGAAATGCTAAGTATTATGAATAAGCTTGCGGCTACAAATGTTACTCTGGATTAGCTTCCTTTTCCATAAAAAGAACAGGAGTACTTCGTGGACTACAGCCCACTTCTTCGGATGCATATGCACGAAAGCTTATGCTCTAATAAATTTGTTAGTCTCTAAGGTGCCACAAGTACTCCTGTTCTTTTTATGGAAAAGGAAGCTAATCCAGAGTAACATTTGTAGCCGCAAGCTTATTCATAATACTTAGCATTTCTAATTAGCTTTACACACTAATTTATCCTCACAGCAGCCATATGTGGTATGAAGTTACTACCCCCATCTTACAGATACAGAAAACTGAAGCACAAAGAAAATAAGGGATTTGCCTCAGGTCACGCAGCAATAGAACCGGAGTTTGAACCTAGAAATCCTGATTCCATGTCCGGTGCTCTAACCATTAGATCAAGTTGCATATATTTATATTTCAAAAGCCTTGAAGATGGCCCTCAGAAGTGAATTGTCAGGGGTTCCCTATGGACGCCCCCAGGGTCTATCCTTTTATTTTATAAATGTGCCATTGCTGCAGCATCCGATATTCTCCTCAAGATTAAACAACAGGCTGCCAGCCCTACATTTTCCTCACTATTTCCTCTGCAGCCACAAGGGCTTTGTATTTTATCCCTTCACTTTTGCATCTAGCCTTCACCCCCCTTTCCTCCTCCTCGCTGTATTTAGGTGTGCCTTTGGGAAGGCTAGAGCGAAGAACTAA